CCCTGAAGAGTCTAGGGAGCTGGCAGTACCTGTGGAAAATGGAGGTGCCTGCAACTGACAGTGGGCATCCAGGGACCAAAGTGCTCGTGTTGGTTTGGACAAGTGAGGGTGAAGAGGATACAGGAATGCTGAGTGTCACAGCAGACGGAGAGGTTCCACGTGAACACTGATGGCCAGAAAACATTTTTTTTTTTTAATTTCTGCTTGTCTTTTACTCTAGTGTGGAATGTCTATGTTCCTTTTAGTTTTATCTTAATGGATATGCTCTTAGTAACTTTAAAAAATGGACTCATGGCCTGGGATTATAGAGCAGAAAGAGCTAGGGACCCTCATGTTTGTTTACTGCACAGATGGGTGCATCCTGCTGCTATTGGTGCATGTAAGTTTCTCAGAGCCCTTTGAGGCAACTTGGCTTAGAATCATAGATTCGTTTGGTTGGAAAAGACCTTTAAGAACATTGAGTTCAACCATACCTGTCCACTACTAAACCATGTCTCTCAGCACCTCGTCTACCCATCTTTTAAATAACTCCAGGGATGGGGACTCGACCGCTTCCCTGGGTAGCTTGATCCAATGCCTGATAACCCTCTCAGCAAAGAAATTTTTCCTAATGTCCAATCTAAACCTCGTCTGGTACAATTTGAGGCCATTTCCTCTTGTCCTATCACTTGTTACTTGGGGAAGAGACCGACCCCCACCTCACTACAGCCTCCTGTCAGGCAGTTGTATAGAGCGATAAGGTCTCCCCTCAGCCTCCTCTTCTCCAGGCTAAACAACCCCAGTTCCCTCAGCTGGTCCTCATCAGCCTTGTGCTCCAGACCCCTCACCAGCTTCATTGCCCTTCTCTGGACATGCTCCAGCACCTCTTGTAGTGAGGGGCCCAAACCTGAACACAGTATTCAAGCTGTGGCCTCACCAGTGCTGAATACAGGGGATGACTTCCCTAGTCCTGCTTGTCCTAAAGCTCCTGGAAACTTGCAGAGCCAAATGCTGTTTCCTTCACACATGCCTGGTACCCATCCAAGACACCCCCGATATGGCTTAGGAAGACTCACACCTCAAGAACGTAGCCAAGAGATGGACAATAGGTACATTCAGTCTGAAAGTGCCTGGGCAAGTCTGCAAGTTCCTAGGAGATAAAGGTGGGCTCTTTGTGCTCTGTGACCAGCTTAACCCTAATTCAAGCTGGTCCGGGTAAGCAGCGTCAGTTTATATGTAAATGGTTTCTCTTGTGTTTCTGGTCTCCCAAGGGGGTAAGTATCCCAGGAATGCTTTTAAACATGGGCCAGCTAGTTTCTTGCCAACAGCCTCTCTATGTGAGAGCAATGCAGTTCGCTTGCATCTGACAACAGAAAATGTCTTTTGCATTTAAAACAATGAAGTATTTTTGTCTGTGTATTTTTACAATGTCTGTCTGTTCTCTATTTGCTGCC